TAGATGGGCTATTAGTCGAGAGAAAATCGACCATACAAAATAGATCGTAGCGTAGATTGATTACGAGCTAACAAGAAATGTGACAATAAAAAGGTGATATATATATAGTTATGAGGCATCAAAGAAAAAACTTTAAAGTTTTGGTTTTGAAAAAAATATAAATCTTTGGATTTGGTTTAGTAAAATTTTTAAATGTATTTGTTTATTTGGCTTGGTTTGAAAAAAATATTTAAAATAATTTACAAGACGTAACTGTACGTCTGTACCTTTCAGAGATTATCATATTAGTTACGAAATGTGGGTCACAACAGGAATCTTTTGAAACCTCATTGATTCACATTTACAATTTTGGAATATTTTTGACCTGTTCTTGAAACAATAACTAAACCACAACATATTTTAGTCTACACATAGATGGCATCAAGTTGACCTAAGTATTATAACTGCTATGTATTAAATAACAAGGCTGCATTTATTAAAGATAAAGATAATACATTTTGAAATGCTTATGTATAGGCTTACACCATGAAAATGCTTATGTATAGGCTTACAACATAAAAATGTTTGGGAACGAGGAAGTAAAGACGCTTAACGCATCTTCCACATGATTTCCACGAGCTCTCAACATTCTCACTCGGCTTAGTCATCTTTAAATACAAAAACAATAATCTTATTATAGTTTAAATACATGTAATATACGTTTTTGATTCTTATACAATATGTTCAACTAGTGACTAGACCTACTTCACGCGTGGAACATGGGTCCTAGCTCGTGTCAACTTATGGTCCTCTTATAGAGACCTAAATATTAATCACAATGCTAGTGACCGACCTAAGTATTTCTTCTTATAGTACATAAGTCGTGTAACACTTATATAGTCTTAACGAATAAAAAAGCACTTATTATCTAGTTTGTTAATTAATATTTATCAAGTAGATTTTACTTTAATCGTTTATGCGTATATATAATCGGGAGACAATAATATTCCAACCAAAACAACTTCAACAACAGAAAACAGAATCTATAAGCTAAATTAAGCAAAACGAAATGTGTGCATTAGTACCTCCATTGTTCCCAAACTTTGGCTGGCCGTCGACGGGAGAGTACGAGAGCTACTACCTCGCCGGAGAGAACCTTAACAACAACACGTTTCTTGATTTTCCGGTACTGGAGACTTATGGAGTGGCTCATCATCAAGACCTCTTGGGAGTATCTGTTTCGTCTGAGGGAAATGAGATAGACAACAATCCGGTCGTGATCAAGAAACTTAATCACAATGCAAGTGAGCGTGACCGTCGCAAGAAGATCAACTCTTTGTTCTCATCTCTCCGTTCATGTCTTCCAGCTTCGGATCAATTGGTAAGTAGTGACGCCGAATCCGTTTCATCTCAAAACCAATTGGAAGTAACTCTTTGTTCGATTAGGTCAATTACATTATTTTAATGTGGGATTTCTAATACGTTTGTCTAATCATCTATACCATTTAGAACAAGAATATTGAATTAACCCTTTTTCTTTCATTTATTTTCTTGCAGAAGAAGCTAAGTATTCCTCAGACGGTTTCGAGGAGCTTGAAGTACATACCAGAGCTGCAAGAGCAAGTGAAGAAACTAATACAAAAGAAGCAAGAACTCTTGGTGCTAGTATCGGGTCAAAGAGACATTGAACATTGCAATAAGCCTCAACCAAAGGCAGTCGTAAGTTATCTCTCGACGGTTTCCGCGACTAGGCTTGGAGACAACGAAGTGATGGTCCAAATCTCATCGTCCAAGATCCATAACTTTTCGATATCTAATGTGTTGAGTGGATTAGAAGAAGATGGGTTTGTTCTTGTGGATGTTTCATCTTCAAGGTCTCAAGGAGAGAGGCTCTTCTACACTTTGCATCTTCAAGTGGAGAAGATGGATGATTATTACAAAGTGAATTGCGATGAGTTAAGTGAAAGAATGTTGTACTTGTATGAGAAATGTGAAAACTCGTTTAATTAGGTGATTAATTCATATGATGTATTTATTATCCATTTGTTCTTGTTTTCCTTTTAGTTGTGTCCTTTTCTCTTACAAATCTAACATTGATCTTGACCCAATCATTGATGTAGTCGAGTTTTTTTTTTTCTTGATAAAATTAAAAGTCAATTATGGATTAATGCTTAAAATTGTTTAATACTCTAATAATATAGGCAAAAGTTGATAAAAATGTCCTGTCTTTTTATGTTATTTTCATCATCATCAATATCATTCGTGAAATAACGAATCAGAACAAAACAATCACTGCTATAGATGTCAACTGTTGTTACATAGTTTATTATAAAATGAGAACGATTTATAAATT